CGGTGCGGCAGCGAGCTGCAACTCAGTGGGAGTCCAAGGAGCGGAGCTTCTGTGTTCAGCTCAGAAACTGAGCCCGGGCGGTGGTCTACGTCCTCGGCTGGTGCGCTGAATACCGGCCGGATTAGCGCTAATGCAGAGCTGCGGCGTGCCGCTGCCGTGACCATCCCCGGGATGGAAGCGGCCGGAAGGCTCCGGATGCCGGCCTGGTTTCAGCTCTCGGCGGCGAACTCTGTGACCGGAGCCGCGCCGGGCGACCGGACAGCGAGCCGACCGGCGCGGCGGAGCGCGATCGATATATTGAGTGGAGTGGACGTGCCGACCGGCGACCGACTGACCGGGCTGGTCAGCAGTCGGCTGTCACTGCGTCCGTGTCGCGCTGCCGCCCCTCCCCTCCCCTCCCCTGGGAGGGGCCACCGCGCCGCGTGGGCGTGTCGTCTGGCCTGCTCCCCTCCGTTCCCCTGGGAGGGCCGTCGCGCCGCGTGGGCGTGTCGTCTGGCCCGCCCTGCAGACTGCGGCGCGGCGAACATCGATTTTAGCCGGCTGTCCCGTCAGGTGCGGCAGCCCGGTGGCAGGACACGTACACAGCTGTTAAATATAGCCGGTCGGGCTCATAGCGCCGGCAGTGCCATCCCGGCCGGACGCGACTCAGCTCTGCCGCTCGACTTGTGTTCGGCCTGGTGGTTCCCAGAGAGAGCACGGCCCGGCTGCCGGGAAAGGGTGACTGTTATTCGGGGTCACGGCCGCGACCCGGCGGTGCCACACTGATCACCGGGCGGCTGAATGGGGTCCGGCGGGTCACAGGGGAATGAATCCACGCAGAGGGTGCCTGGTGATGGGTGGCTATGACCTCAACTTGTCGCGGGAGCTACAAAAACCATGTTTGGTTTGGCCTATTGCGCGTCACACTTGATTCCTTTGCGACTACTTATTTATTTAAACTGTTTCGGCATGTTTTGCTTTTATTTTCAATCCATTTCTCATTCAAAATAATATTTTCTTCAGGCTGGCATAGGACTTTACTGTCTGCCACGACTGGGTATCAATCTGCCTTTGGACGGTCCGGTCACGCTAAAGCCAAATCACGACCACGGCGCTGCGGCAATTCCCGTCCACCGCCAGCTCGGTTCAATTGATAGTTTCTTTTTCAGCGTCTCGTTCCCGTGTCCCTCCGGCGTGACGAAGCGTTTTCAGCACCATGAGGCTCCGCGTTCTTTTACCCTTTCCATCCACCATCACCGCCCCCCGGGTGGGGGGAGGAGGAGGTGTCTGTCGGTCGCGCTCACCTTGCCACGACCTGATGACACGCGCGTTTGGTGGACGGGCTCCCTGAAGCGCCGTCGAAGCTCCGGTCGTCACCGCCTCAAGGACAGCGCGGTTTTGTCTGCGTCGTCGCCGGCGAGGTGACGAGTCAGTCTGGCCGGCGCGTAGGGCTCTGGGCGGGCGCAGACGGCGTGGGACCGGTGGCACCTCACCGCGCCGCCCCCGGGGTGCCGACGGACGCCGGGAGCAGCTGGTGCGCGGGCCACACGGGTCCGGCAGCCTTGGAATGCTCGGTGGAAATGTCGACTTATCAAACCGCGGACAGGTTATTGGCGAAGTCGTTAATTTGATCGGCGGCGTTTCTCACCACCAGGCCTTTGATTTCGGAGCGACTTTGTTACCATTGGGAGGTAGGCACTGTGAGCGCTGGGTGCCGCCGTGGGAGTGGGCGGGCCGCCGCGCCGGCTCGCCTCTGTCAGCTGCAGTGGGCTGTTGCCACGGACGGACGGCCACCGGAATCTCGGAGCGGCCGAGTGGCTCTGAATGTCGAGCAGGGAAGGGCGGGGGGAGAGGGACGGGCGGAGGCGGCGGCAAAGGCTCTGAGTCGGGCCGGCCGCGGTTGCCTCATCGGCGTGCAGGCCGGCCGTCTGACAGCGCTGGAGACGGCGGCCGGTGACCTTTCGCCTCCGTCCGTCCGCCCTCGCCATCGTCGGCGGTCCGAGAGAGCCCCGCCCACTGCGGTGTGTCCGGTCTCGGACGAGCCGCCGCCCCCGCTCCCGCCCCCGCCCGCCGGGGTGTATCCGGTCTGGGACGAGCTGCTCGCCCCGCTCCTCCCCGCCCCGCTCCGCCCCGCCCCTTCTTCGCACGCGTGTCTTGTCGTCCGCGCCGGCGCGTGTCGGTCGGACACTATCGGGCGCGTGCCCAGAATTGTTGCGTCAGCCTCGGACGAGTGAGGCGTCGCTACGGCGCGCGCACAGGCGGCGCACCGACTTTTTGTGCGGCGTCTGGGCTGAGGAGCCGTACACCGACCGGCTGACCGCCTATGCCGTGCCTGTCCGTAAATGGACACAGCTGTGGTGGATAGGGCGGGCTGGAGAGGCCGACAGGCCACGGCCCATTACCGACATAAAGGGACGGGTTTCGTCAGCACTTGCATCAGCGATGCCTGTTCATCATGTGCGGTGTGTCATGTCATTCGACTTTGAGTACCTTAGTGTTTGTGTGCTTGTCTGGTAACATGCCCCATGTTGTAGACCTACGGATTTTCGTATTAGGATCCTAGCAGTCAATGGTAGCGCTCACAAACGCTGCTTGCATTTTTCTTCCACAAGGGAACTGCAGACCCCATGATTCTTGCTCAGCTGCTGCTATAGCTGCTAAAGGCAGGCAACTACGAGATATATCATTTACCCACTCCGGACGTTGGACAGTTGCCCTTCCGGTGGCTCTGTTATTTCAGTCATTCTGTGGCCTGATCAGTGCCCTTCCGCCTTCTGATGCCCTTCCTGACATTCCTGCTCGCCTTCCGCACCATTCTGCCGTCTTCCTGTGGCGGGCAGGGTAGGATGTCCGGCGGCAGAGGCGGCGCAGGGGGCGCGCCCGGCCGCTCAGGTCAGAGCGGAGCCGGACACACAGCACACAGCTCGGTACGGACGCCCGTGGTCGGCCGGCTCGCGCGCGCGATAGTGCTCCGGCACCGGCCGCTGTCGACGGCAGGGCAGTGCTGCGGCGCAACCGAGTGGGCCCTGCAATAGTTATGGTTTGGGCCGGGTCACTGTGACCGTTTGTATAACCTTGGCGGCCGCAGGACCCGCATACCGTTCAGCAACGTCAACCCAGGTGTTTACTTGTGTGGCGAGACTGAGCCAGTTTTAACTGGTAACGTTTGAAGTTCATGAATGGTGGACGGGACTTTAACACTTTCCGTGTTTTGAGATGGGTGTGTCGGCCGACGGCCGTCATAGGAAAATCGCATCGATCGTGTTTCGTGGCACGCTGCCTCTGTCTGCTGTGTGTCTGTATCCGCCTATAGTTTGGCCTGCTGTCGGTTGACAGAGGGACGAGACGACAGACGTCAGTGTGACCGGGCGTCTGGAGCCGTGTTCTGTTTGGCATTTTCCGACACAAATCCAGCGCTTCCTGGCTTTGATGGATGACCGCTCCTCATCTACATATTTGATTGTTTGACCTCCGTCGCTCTTCTCGAAAGCCGGAAAAAAACATGAAGGAAGCCGCTGTGTTAGCAGTGCTCTCCAGACGGCGGCGTCGCCCGCCGAGCACACAGCACCGGCTCCTTGTGTCTGTGTGGTGTTTGGTCTCTTCACCCCCCCCCACCCCCACCCCTCCGCCTCACTGTCACGAAGTGATCGACTGGGCTGTCGGACCTCCGCCATCCCCTATCTTACCCTGACTACGGCTGGTGACCCCCATTGGTATGGGACGACGGTCACCAACGTATCAGCCAGTCTGCCGACAAACAGCGCGTCCTGTTTTGACGGGGCGCCGGTCAGCTGTGTAGAGTAAGGGCGCTGTGCCAGCAGCAGATTGGCCGACCGGGCCGCCGCGCCGCGCTGTAGCGGCTCCCTGGCTGCCAGCTCAGTGGGGAGCTGTCCCAGCCCGCCCGGCCCTCTGTGTCGGCTGTAGTCGGCTGAGTCTGAGCTGAGGGGTGTATCACAGCTCCCCAGCTGCCAGCTCAGTGGGGAGCTGCCCCAGCCCGGTCCGCCCCCCCCCTGCCCCCCCGCCTGGCCCTGTCGGCTGCAGTCGGGCGGTCTGAGCTGATGGGCGTGTGTCACAGCTCCCCGGCTGCCAGCTCAGCTGGGGGCTGCCCCAGCCCGGTCCGGCCCTCTGTGTCGGCTGTAGTCGGAGGATCTGTAGCTGACGGGCGTGTGAGAGGCGGACGGCGGCTCGGAGCGTGGCACCCACCACCACATAACGTCCGTGGGGCAGGCCGACTGGCCGTGTTTGGTGACCGCTGTCCGTTGGGGCAGGCCGACCAGCTGTGTTCGGTAGCCGTTGTCCGTTGCCAAGGTTACGGTCTGTGCGGCCTGTTATGTTGATGGAACGGTGACTGATGATACGGCTCGTAATGGGTAAATCCGCTGAGCGATCGCTGTTTTTAGATGTTTTCGTTACTCGAGGCTGAGGGATGCGTCGTTTTGGCTAGGTCTGGGCATAAGGATTTTTGATCCATGTTGGATGGAAGGTTGGTATGACGCTCGAGATCGATTCGGTTAAGTGCACCAGTATCGTTTACCTAAGCTGGTAAAAACTTATGCTCTTCGTCTTGGATGTCAAATGACCACTGGACCCGTTATTGTCGGCAGACAATGGCAGTCATTGAGTCCGGTGGCTCGCTTCATGGCCGTTCCCTCCAAGTTTGTCCATTTTACAGATCCTCCAAGCCAAACGTGACGCACGCAGCGATTTGCTAAATGTTCTTGGTGATCGACGTGGGCCTAAACCCCGATCATTAGGTAGCCACCCCACCTGACAGTGAAAATAGGATAGTTGCGAAATGAAATGAATGCGGGAGGCTGCGTGGTTGGGAAACGGGCGGATGTTGCCGGGCGGCGGCCGCCTGTTGCGCCATTCGCTGCCGCCTGGGGTCGGGGTCGGTGGTCGATGGATACAGATCCTTACCCCCCCGGTCTGCTCTGTCGGTGGTCTCTGATACAGCTCCTTACACCCGGTCTGCTCTGTCGGTGTCTGTGAGGCGGCTGATGTGCTCCCTTTTCCCGCAGACGATGGAGCCTGAGGAGCCGTCGGCGCTGGAGCACGAGATGACCCAGCTGTCGGGCGGCAGCAGCGAGCCCTCGGCCGCTCCGCCGCCGCCCCAGCCGCCGCCGCCGCCCTCCCTGCCGCTGCCGCCGCCACCACCACCGCCGCCGCCGCCACCGCCGTCATCCGAGTGTGCGGTCCAGCGGGCGCCGTCACCGGCGGCCTTCAGCGGCGGCCCGGGAGCTGCCGAGCCGGGCGGGCCGGCGGCGGCGCGCGCCTGCCACCAGCAGTACCCGAAGCGCGACTGCGTGCTGGACGCCGAGAGCGCCGAGGCGGCCGCGCTGCTGCCGGCGCCGTTCCGGCTGCTGCACGGCGAGTACGTGGTGCGCGCCGGCCGCGTGGTCGAGGGCCGCCTCTACCTGACCAACTACCGGCTCTACCTGCAGGCCGACACGGCCAGCGGCCTGCTGAACGTGCCGCTCGGCCTGCTGGAGACGGCCGAGACGCGCGACATCTGCTACCTGCACGTCCAGTGCAAGGACGCCAGGGCCTTCCGGTGAGTCCCGGACGGGACGGCACGGGATGGGGTGGGACGAGACGGGACGGGACGGGACGGCACGGGACGGGACGGGACGGGACGGGATGGTTTGCAGAACTGTGGAAGTCCCACCAGCCTGCCGGCACGTTGGAGGTGATTTGTGGCCGTTTTCCCTCCCCGCGGCCTGCAAGCTGCATACATATGCGGCAGTGCAGGCCGACTGCTAACCAGATACCCAAACACGTCGGACCTTGGCCCCTGTTCTGTGGGCGTTTGGCCGTTGTTTCTGTCACCTTTTATGACGTTAGCAAGGTGTTACCCACCTCCACTGTGACGCAGTGCGACCAATTTTAATTATGGCGTTACTTGACTTCGAGACGTGAACTATTTGCATTTCTGGGGATGGATGGAGAGGTGTCGGCTGCCGCCAGCTCGCTACTTTTCACCAAACGCGCTTGAGCTGCCTAGCGCTGCGTAATACGTAAATAGCGCCCGTTGGGCCTTGCGCTCCGTTTTTGCACTCAGCCGGCAAAGCTACTTTGACCAATGAGTTATCGGGGCTGAGCGGCCGGGTTGTGCAATGCGGAGCTTTTTGGTGAATCGCCTTGATGGGTTTGATGAACGTCTGGGCGATTACGAATTTTTCTCTAACGAATCAGTTAGATATCAGGTTGTCCGATCATGGGCAACGCTGTGCATAAAAGTTGGATAGGCAACAGGTTGTCTGATCATGAGCAACGGTGTGCTTAAAAAGTCATGTGACTGGAGCCGGAGCTGAATAAGTTGTTTTGTATTGGCGGTCTTATTGGTCCTGTTCAATCCTGCATTTGCTACTCTGTGAGTACCGTCCGTCCGTCCGTGTTCCCTGTAGCTCGGCGTGTGAGTGACGCAACGCTGTCTTGTGGGAGGGGTCGCACGCTCTGTGTGACCCCCGCTGACCCCGCGGGTGGGGCAACTCGGCCGGCCGACCGGGCGCTGGCACGGCCCCGCGCGGACCGGCACAAAGCCGAGCTCGCCAGGCCGCTGTGCCAGTCTGCTGGCGCCCCGCGCCGGGCGTGGGAGGCGCCAAACATACTCGGCAAAAAGGGACCACAAAAACGGAGCGAAAAAGCCGGCCATAACACCGTCCCCGGCTGGTGGCGTTCGTTCGCCTGCGCCGCGTCCGTGGATGGAGCGACATCAGGCACTGTCGACAGAGGCGCTCCATCAGCTGCCCACTACTGTGTGATATTATTGTCCCCCATAAGGGACAATAAGCTGGGCTGGGCTCGGTAGCTGAACAACGCCGTCAATCGTCAGCGGCCAAATGACAGCGTTACATCGGGCTCCAAGGCGCTGTCGATCGACCACCATGAGACGCTGGCGCAGCTTTCACAGGACGTCAGATGCTTGGTCAGGTCAGAGCGTCGGGGTCAGTCGGGGTGCTGAATTTCATTTGAGATGCTGGTTTGCTCGTGATAAACAATCAGCGCGCTTCTCATTGGAGTTTCAGTACTTGACTCTCGACAAAGACGTTCAATTGTCTGACCTTCGTGCAGGCGATAGCGTGCCTGTGTGTGTCGATCTTTCGACGAGCAACTGTGAAGTGAACTGTCAGTTACGTCTGTTAGCGACTGGGTTCGGTCTTCACGACCGGGCCGGGTCAGTGACCAGTCCGTGGCGACGGCATCTGAACAGGTGCGATCCATCATATGCGCCTCTGAGACGAGACATTCCAGCATCCCGTGACCGCGGGGCACCCCATCAACGCTCTATCACGGCTGAGCCATCTGGGCCAGTCTGTACGGTATGGTGGTCACCGCTGCTGCCTCCGGCCGTGGGACCACCTTCTGGTGTCTGAACTGAAGCATCTCGGCAGTGTCGGCACCGTCCGCCGCTGCTGTAGGCCGTGAGACCAGTCGCTGAAGGCGGAACCGGAGCAGCTCGGCGCCGGTCAGCCGCTCCGGCTCAGCTCTCTGTGTGACGTCACAGCCGTCCGGCCGCAGCGGGCCGGTCTCTCCCCAAAAGGCCGGGTCCGGGCCGGGCAGTGTGCGGCCGCGGCCCTGCAGCCGGTCGATAGCGGCCGCTATCCGGGAGGCCGTCCCGATCCGCGCCGGGCCGCCGCGCCGGCGATCGGACCACCAGAATTTTTAGACGGTTTTAGCGGCGTGAGCCTTCTAATTTATGCGTCTGATTGGCTCAGGTTTTTGCGGTTGTATGTAAATCTGAGCGGTTACCGCGGGCGCTGCATGCTAATGACACTTGGGCAGCGGTGGTTTAACACGGTGGCCTCGGCCAGCCACCGGGCACGGGACCGCTGCCTTATGGGGCTATGGATCTTAGTAGTCTGGACGGGTCGGGCCGCTCCCCCGGTCAGCTGGGCGGGTGGGTTGCAGTCAGCTGAGTGGGCGTGGCGCCTTCAGCTGAGGGGCGTGTCACCGTCAGCTGGGTGGGCGTGGCACAGTCTCGGCTGAGGGGGCATGGTACAGTCAGCTGAGTGAATGAGATGTCCTCAACTGGATGAGTGGCATTGTCAGCTGATTGGGCGTGGCATCGTCAGCTGAGGGAGTGTGACGCCGTCGTCGGGGGGGGGGGGGGAGAGGGTGTTCGTCAGCTGACGGCCCCATTCCTGGAAATTGACGGGTTGTGAAATATTTCTTAAGTGTTCTTGGTTCTTATTTACAAGTTTTTGGACGGATATTCTTTCTATTGAAATATCATAGCGACCCGAGTATGTTTGGATGGTTTGTATTTGTATTTATTCCACTAACAGTAGAATTTAGTGCTCAAGCTACTACCAGCCGCGACAATGGCCGTCACAAAGCACCCACCCGCTGTCACCTCTCCGATGGAGGCAGGGCTGCTGCAGCACAGTCCGCGTATGACAGGTGCATGTGCGTGCGGCGGACGGCGCGGCGGACTTTCGCCGAACTGCCGGCGCGTGACGTGCGTGTCGGGATGCGTGACGGCGCGCGGCCGCGGCGGTCCGCCCAGTGACGGTCACTGCACTGTCCGCCCAGGGGCTGCACCGTTCTGTGCTGCAGTGGCTGCCGGCGACGACATATGTGGCCTGGGTGCTGCAGCTTTTCCCAATGTCTACTGGTGCAGGTGTACTGGTATCACCTCCCGAGCTGTGTGAAAGATTATTCTTTTCGATCATGGTGTGCGGAATGGCCAGTAGTGGACAGAGTTGAGTTGTTTGCAGTATGGAGAGCTATTGCGGCTCGTTCTTTGGTTTCCTCTTTCAGTGGGGTGGGAGGGGGAGGGCTGGTGGAATGCAGCGACCGGGCTGTGTCTGTTTACCGTTTTGCCACAAAGGAACGTCCGGCCGCGCGCTGGTCGACTGACATGCTGACAGCGAGCCTCTCTGGGGCGCGGGGCCGGATCGTATCTCTGAGCCGGCGCGGCCAGTGGCGGCCTTTGTTGTCGTGCCATGCGGCGCGCTGTCGTGCCGTTTATCAGGGCAGCGCTGCTGAGCACGCGCCGCGCCCGGCTGGCTGCGGGCCGGCCGAGGGCCTGTCGGGGCGGATAGTGTCAGTGGGGTGTGTATGGCGATCGACCCCGCTGGTGGGGCGCGTGACGCGGCGCCCGGGGTGCAGCTGAGAGCCGCCTCACGGCGCGGCTGACGTCACCGGACGGTGACTCACGCCTCTGTCTGTCTGCCGGCGCGGCAGGGCCGGGCGGACGGAGACGGCGGACCGGTCGGTGTCGCAGCTCCGTCCGCTCGCCGCTGTCTGTCTGCCGGCGGGGCCGGACGGACGGGGACGGCGGACCGGTTGGTGTTGCAGCTGCGGTCCGACCCGGCTCGGTCCGATTCTCTGCTCCGTGACGTCATGGGGCGCCGGTCGGCGAACACGAGTCCGCTACACCGCCGGGTGTCACCCAAGTACCGCAAATGGAGCGGCATGCGACCTTGGCAAACTATTTATAGCGGCGGCCGGCGGCGCTGTCATCGCTCGCTCACGGGGTGATTAGAATAACTGGATGACGCGTTGCGAGTCATGACTAGTGGTGCTGGGCTGCTGATGTTGCAGTTCTATACGAGCTGCAAGCGAGCTACGAGCGTAGGGTGAACTACCGAGACTGTTTGGCATTAATATTGACAAGCTAGTATGGGTGAACGTTGAGCACGGATAAGACAGGTCAAACGGATCATTCCGAACTTTATACAATATACAAGTCTCATTCGTGATCATCTTGACCTAATAACATTGCAACTTATCCGTTTCACTCCGCGATTTTCTAGGATTTCCGGATCTCACTTGCCGGATGTGTGCTGAACTTGGCCGCTTTTGCAGGGAAGTTGAACAAGTTTCAGATTCCCGTGCCACCTTTGAGAGGCGTATTGCTCAGAGGAAGTTGTGTCTAGTTTCCACACTCGGTACGCTGAGCTGCGCCCCCTCTCGAGCTGGCCGCCGCCGCGTGACGCGGAAGTTGGTCTGACGGCGCTCCATTCCAGTTCTGCTGGCCTGTGCTGACTAGGCGGCGTCTCATCGTCTCGGCGCCCTCGCGTCGCTGTGTCCTAGCCGTCTGTCCGTGCCCGTCGGACCGTGCCGGCCGTCTGTGCCGGCATCGTTAGCGCTCCTTTCCCTGAATGGCACCGAATGCCGGGAACTGCTCCGAATTCCCCTAACCGAGCCGATCCGAGAACCGTTAGCTGTTCTCTGGGCTGAAACGGCTGCTGTTTTTGCATGTCCTCGACCAGTCTGTAATTAGCTGGTCGTCAAAGCCAGAGTCGCCTGCTCTGTTAATGACACTTTCCAGTTCGCTGGGTTTGAATTTCACGGCGCTGCATCAGCTCTTTTGACGGATTGTAGGGCGTAGGCGCTGCTGGGTCTTTCCATATCCAACACGTCTTTTTTCTGTGTTTGTGAAACCGCCTCTATCACGCATCATTAACGTTTGGCGGGACGCCGGCGGTTTCTTAGTGACCCACTTCTGGGCGGGGCTCTACCACAGGTGGCCTCGAGCTGCGACCGGCCTCGGTCTGCGTTCGAGTTGTTCGACGGACTCATTCGGCGGGAAGTGTTCTGGGTTTGAACGATTCCTGTTCCTGGTTCCTCTGATCGCACTGGGCTCGAAGCAGTCCGATCCCATGCCCTGCTGCTTTGCAACATCCTCCAATTCCGGTGCTACGCCGCCCAGCTGTTCTGACGACTGCTAGAGAGCCGGCGCGGTGTCCGATGGCGCTCTGGGCCGCCAGCCCTGCTCAAGTGCTCAGTGCCCGCCCTGCCGTGCTGCCTACCCGGAGGTGCACGCCGTGCGCCCGCCCCTGTATGACGTACCCAGCTCTGCCGTACCGTGCCGTGCCGCGCCGTGCCGCCCTGCCGGCAGCTCCGGTAGTGATCGAATGACGGGCATCCGGCCGGCCGGGTCGTGCCCCGGTGTCCTGTTTTGCCGCCAATTCCGCTGAGGGTGGTGGTAGTGGAGGACGGGCTAAACTCTCAGCGGAAGTGGAGGGCAGGTTGGAGTTCGGGTCACCCCGATGGTGCAAATGATTGTGCCATTCTGGGCTGGGACGCCAAATTCGCCAATGCTAGCCAAGTTCGGAGATAGGGTGCCATACGTTTGCGCAAAACTCCGCGATTTTGGGAGCCAGCGCTGGGGAGCAGGAAGTCAGCGGCTGTGGGCGTGCCGCCAATCTGGAGCTGTACTGGTATTGGGCGTTAGCTCGAGTTACTTTGTTGTGATTGCCTTCACGGGGAGGCACCGTGTCCAGAACGAGCGAAACGTGACGTGACATCATAGATATCGGTTAGCGCTACGTCGTATATCGGCTGCAGTGAAGGCGTCAGGGATTCCCCTCTATCAGAGAAGCTCGCGGCTTCCTGTCCCAGCGTGATAGCCTGCTGTTAGTCATGGGGGCCTCCGCCTGCTGACTTCATCGACCAGAGCGCTATTGCTCATACGAGCACATCCTTTCGCTGAGCGGTCCTACGTGCTCTTCGAACGGGTCACAGACAACGGAGAGTCTCCACTATGAGACCATTGGAGCTACGTATCGGTATATCATGGCACGGTGTGCCCGCCACGTGGTTATGGCTCTGGTAGCTGCTCCGAGATTCGAACAGTGCCACCAGACCCCCGAACGTCTCTGCAATGTCGGTGATTCGATATGACCCGGATTGTGGCTGCCTTTCAGCATCAATTGCTGGCAGTCTGGAGTCCTTCAATATGGATTTAACTCGCAGTCTGAAACAGGCGACCTTTGATCACATTATGCTGATTGATGATGCCATTTTTATATTCGTACTTTGAAAGTTCAGTGATGCTTTTTATTGATTTTGTCGTCGTGTGTCATGACCTGCGTCATACCATGTCGCTCAAATATTGTCGTCCCTGGGTTTCATCTAAACCTGTCCCGCCTTCCCTCAGACTGATCTCTGCCCGGTCTCCTGTCTCCTCCCCCAAACTGACCCCTGCCTGGTCAGGGAGACCCCTTCCAGGTCACTTTCCCACACACTGACCTCTGCCTGGTCACTTCCCTACATTATGACCCCTGCTTGGTCAGAGGAACTTCTTCTCAGTTCCCGTTCTCCTCCCCCAAACTGACCCCTGCCTGGTCAGACTGACCTCACCCCGGCCACCTCCCCACACACTGACCCCTCCCCGGTCACCTCCCCACACACTGACCCTGCCCCGCCTCCCGCAGGCTGACGCTGCTGACGGGCGAGGCATGCGCCGAGTGGCAGCGTGACCTGGCGATACTGACCCCCACTCCTCCTCCCCCTCAGGCTGACGCTGCCGACGGGCGAGGCGTGCGCCGAGTGGCAACGTGACCTGGCGGCCGGGCTGGCGCCTCCCGAGCGGCTCTCGGCCAGCTTCAGCCACGCGTTCCACGCCTGGTGTCGCGAGGAGGGCGCTGACGAACTGCACCAGACGCTGACGGCGGCCGCTGTGAGGCCCGCCGGCGCCGAGCTGGCCACCTACAAGGCGGAGGTGAGGGGACAGAAGGGACCGGGTGGGGTACGGTCAGGGCAGGGTGTCAGATGGAGACGGTGTGTGAGAGGGAACTGGGAGACAGGTCAACGGGGGGGGGGGGGGGGGACTAGAGTTGTTGTGCGGAAAGTGGGGTCGATACTAGGGGCCCTAGACTGGAGACGGAGGACTATGAGAAAAAAGGCGTGTGGGTAGAAGAAAGCTGTGACAAGAATGCCGAATCCAGGTTGAAGAGTAATGGTTGTATGAGGCTGGAGATGACGACGCATTGGAGCAAGTCAGCATAGAATGGATGGATTGGAAGTGGAAAGATGAAAAGTTGTAGCGTGGAAGTGCTCAGACGAAGGGGGATAATGCGAGTGAAATAGTAATTCTGGATGGAAGGAAAGGAGATCCGTCGATATGAAATAAAGGGTAGTGCGACTCGCAAATTTGTAGTGAAACTTTCAAGGCTTTAGCTTCTATTGTGGTTGTGGTAGTACAAAGTACTGGTAATACCAAACAGCGTCCTGTTAAGAATTGGATGAAGTTTTGATGTGTAGAACTATGAACAGAAGTTCGGGTAAGAGCCTTGGGGTATGGGGCTGTAAGCGATGAACCGGTCAGGCTGGCAGACAAAAGTTTATACCCAGTTATAATTGGTCTGGGCGCAATAAGCAGAATCCAGGGTCTAATACATTTGTCGGGGTAACTCTCGAATCTTCGAATCTGATGTCGTTACGCCCACTTGACCACACCGAGTTATTTGATTGACTTGAAGTGTCACTCCATCTATAGGTTTGCTTGGCTAATTGAGTGTTGAGTGGTAGTCACCCTGTGTGCCGGCGGGGACAGCCGGGTATTTCCCTATCGGTGACACTGAACTCCGCGCGGTCAGTGGATGGCCGGCTGATAGTCTGCGTTAGTGGGGTTGGTGGATGGCCAGCTGATAGTCAGCAGTTAGTGGGGTTGGTGTCCCGCTGATAGCTCCGGCCCCTGAAGTGGATCAGGCCCGGCCGCGCTATGCCGTAAGCCGGCGGCACTAGCGGCGCTCTGTATCGATAGCCGTGATAGCGGCAGACCCCGCCGCTGCGGACCGATCATCCCACTGATACGGAGAGGCCCACCTGTCGAGGAGCTCTGTCAACAGTGAGTGGTCGCTGCAGGGGACATTTCCGGCGGATAGCGACCCGGTGTCTCCAGATAGCCCGGTCACACCCCCAGCCTGCCTCGCTGGGATCCACTGACGACAGGCGGCCGAGCCAAAAACTGCTTGCAAAACTTCACCTCTACAACATACACACCGCGTGGTTTCAGGACTATCTTAACGGACACTCACAACAGGTGAAGGCTAGGTGCGCAGACGGCTCTTACGCCTACTCAGGATCACTGCCGGTAACAACAGGAATTTACCAGGGAGGGTCGGTTAGTTGCTTACTGTTCGCCATTTTTGCAAATGACTTGAGCTTACACGTGCCCGATGTCTGCGTCGTACAATTTGCGGATGATACGCAGCTCCTGTTATCTGGCAAGAAGGAGAACCTGGCTAGCTTAATCGCAAAAATGGAACGCGCGCTTGACAAACTATTCGCATGGTTCTGTGTCAACGACATGAAAGTTAACGCTTCGAAGAGCCAGCTGATAGTGCTCGGCACGCGGCAGATGTTGAGAGACCTGCCCCCTGTCACTGTCAAATTCGCCGGAACCTCTGTGCATGAGTCTGATATTGTTAAAAATCTAGGCGTTACCATGGACAAAAATTTGACATTCCAGAAACATGTTACCCAAGTGGTATCAAAATGCACGGGATCACTTTTGGCGTTGAACCATGTGAAACATGTGCTACCTGTACTGACTGTGAAACCGATCGTGACATCGTTAGTAGTGTCCGTGTTACGCTACTGCCTGTCAATCTACGGCACGTGCGGAGCCACCGAGCGGCGCCGGCTGCAGAAAGTCCTGAATTTCTGTGCCCGCGTAATCAGTGGACGCCGCAGGAGTGATCACATCTCGGACGTGTTACGCGAGCTAAGGTGGATGACGGCAGAAAACCTGACTTTGTACCACCGAATATGCAATGTGAGACGCATTGTCGAGACAGGACAGCCGCAGAGTATCGCCAGTACTTTGACGAGTGCGACTGACCATGGCCATGACACGCGGAGAGCCAGCCGCCTCAGGCTACCGCAGATTCGAACCGAAACAGGCAGGAGACAGATAGTTTACAGTGGTGTGAAGGCCTACAATGAGTTTTGTGCCACCTACGACGGCAGCGCGTCATTCAACTCAGCACTCAGGGCGTATTTGTTACAAAATCAGTGGAACTGACTGCGCCTCTGTGAGCGATGTTACACTGGGAGGATGAACGTGGAATGAGTGATGAATGAGTGCATGTTTTCGCAACCATTGTCTTATTTTACCTGACGTAGCGTTAATGAAAAGCCGCCCAGGGCGGATTGACGTGAATACACGATCTGATCTGATCTGATCAGCCGCGGGGCCGACAGTCGATTTGACAGGGGTCGTTACTGGCAGCATTTGTCAGACGTTTAATGAGTTCACTTGCGCTTTAACTGAGAACTTGTTATGGCTGTTATGAGCGTCAGCTGACGCATTCATTGATAAGATCTGGCGAGCTTCACAATGTTGAGGGTCTTGGTGTGTCAAGAACGCATCGGCGTTCGCTCGGCGTGAACGTGAATATGACGTGCCGCTCGATGTTCTGGCTGTGTTAGTGCGATGCTGAATGCTCGCTGCCCATTCCCAATGCCTGGCCGCTGTCAGAGACAACCCGGCCTCCAAACGACCTTGGGTGGGGCTCGCGGGCTGTTTTGCTGGGGACCGCTATCCGCGGCGGTGGCCGGACCCGCCCCTGCCGCGCCCGCCAGTCAGCCGGGTCTGGTATGTGACGGCGGCACGGGGCTGTGTCACGACGCTGGAGTACGGCGGTCGGCGGCGGGCTCCCCAGCTGACGCAACGCGGCCGAGATTCCTGGCGGCCGTGGCTGCCGTCCTATTACTATCACCGGCCCCACAGCCGGCCGGCTGACGGCCAGGGGTGGACGGACACCCGCACCAGCTGATCGGCCCGCCGCCAAGGCCGCTGTCCGCCCGCCCGCCCGGCCGGCCGGTCCGACCGCGCCGCTAACGATATCTACCGACGGAGGCGGGAAGCTCAGTCTGCTCTGTGCGGTGGATGTGTCATGGCTGCGCTCTGGTGCAGTGGGCACTGGGTTGATATATAATGTTCGCAAGTGTAAATACTTATCCGTTCTGCTAGCAGAACCCGGGGCTGTTGACACTTCGAACCGCGTATTGCCCGTCTAAACCTCATTTACCTCTGCAAGAGTGGTTAGTTAACACTGGAGTAGATTTCAGACACTCGAAGAGACTTCCTTCCCCGCCTGATCTGGGGACCCTCCACTTCCCCCTGATAAGCCCTCCCCCGCACTGACCCGTTTCCCTCTTGTTGCGGCAGCTGGAGCGGATGGGGTTCGACCTGCGCGCTGCCTGGCGCATCAGCACGGCCAACCAGGAGTTCAAGCTGTGCCCGTCCTACCCGCGCTTCCTGCTCGTGCCGCTGTCCATCAGTGACGACATGCTGGAGAAGGTGGCCCGCTTCCGGGCGCTGCGCCGCGTGCCCGCCGTCTGCTGGAGGTGAGCAGGGCGCGGGGCCGCGCCGTCGTCTGGTCCATCAGATGTAAGGTTAAAGACTGGCCCGAGCTGCAGACATGATTAAATAGCAATCGTCGTGAGCCCAGTCAGCTACTTATCTTTCCGTTAGCGTGCATACCTATTGCGGGCTTGTGTCTTTGAGTCGCGCTGCCGATGGCAGCTGTCTGTTGTGTTCCAGGCACGGCCGGACGGGCGCCGTGCTGGTGTAGCGACGGGTGTGTCTGACTGATGTGTTGTGTGCTGCCTGACTGACTGGCGTGACTGCCTGACTGACTGGTGGTAACTGACTGACTGGCGTGACTGCTGTTCCAGACACGGCCGGACGGGCGCCGTGCTGGTGTGAACGACTGGTGTGACTACTGGCGTCTGGTGTGCTGCCCGGTGGTAACTGACTGACTATGTTCTCCCAGGCACGGCCGGACGGGCGCGGTGCTGGTGCGCTCCGGCCAGCCGGAGGTGGGCTGGCTCGGCTGGCGATCAGCCGAGGACGAAGAGCTCATCAAAGCCGTGAGCGAGGCGTGCGCGGCCAACCGGCTGTCGGCCGAGGCCGGGCCGGCCGCCGCCAACGGGCACGTCAACGGCGACGTGCCCAGCCTGCGCGACCTCTCCGAGGAGGCGCTGCTCTTCAAAAACACAGAGGTCAGCCCGTGGTGCGGCTAGGACGGGAGGGTCGGTAGTTATGCATATGCAAAAATCACGTATTAGTCAAGATGTACAGCTGCGCCGCCGGGTTTACCATCATCTGTGCTGTATAAGGCATTGCTGTGCAGTGATGGTGCTTTGCCAACGTGGAATGGTTCTAGTTGGCTGCTCTACGCTGCCTCATTGTGCCATTAGCTGTCCGTTCGCCGTGTCAGTAACTGTTGGCACCCCCTCTCTGTGCCCCGTGTCAGTAGCTGATGGTGGTCATCCCCTCCCTGCCTGCAGAAAGTGGTGATTGTGGACGCGCGCAGTTACGCGGCGGCGGTGGCGAATCGCGCGCGCGGCGGCGGCGTCGAGTGCAACGAGTACTACCCCAACAGCGAGGTGGTGTTCATGAACCTGCCCAACATCCACACAGTGCGCAAGGCGTTCCAGGCGCTGCGGGCGCTCCTCTCGGCGCCCACCGACCAGACCATGTGAGTGCAACGCAGAGAAACTCAGGAGATTGGGTCTGCTTCCGTTGGACTTTGACATCTACACACGCTGGTTTTTTGATACGTTATGTTCGTCTAGTGATGTTGGTTGCGATTAGTGCAATCAGGCTGTCACTTCGAAATGTTCAGCATGCATACGGAAAATCACGGTCTTCAACAAATTAACTCTTACGAAACGTGGCCACTTTTGGGGCTGGCGTCGTCCATTGTCATTCCCCACTTTGGATTCACGACTTTCAGCCGTTCAGCTGTTTTTGGCGCAAAATGCCTTTGCAGTCGAGGCGACCCAAAGCCCCAATAAAGAATCAGCTGTTCCGGGTAGCTCCAGTCACTGACTGTCGCACGTGTCTGCGCTGTGCTAACCCCTCTCTCCCCTCCTCTCCCCAGCTGGTTCCAGTCTCTGGAGGCCACGCGGTGGCTGTCGCACATGTCTGCGCTATGCTAACCCCTGTCCCTCCTCTCCCCAGCTGGTTCCAGTCTCTGGAGGCCACGCGGTGGCTGTCGCACATGTCTGCGCTGCTGCGAGCGGCCGTCAGCGTGGCGCGCTATATGGACGACCAGGGCCGGCCGGTGCTGGTGCACTGCAGTGACGGCTGGGACCGCACGCCGCAGATCACGGCGCTGGCGCAGCTGCTGCTCGACCCGCACTGCCGCACCATCGACGTGAGTCCGGCGACGGTGGACGGCGAGGGTGGAAGGGCTGGAGATGTGGGAACTTAGAGAGGGAAACTGACGCAATGTGGGTTAGTGTCAAGTGTGTTTATCTGAGGTTTGACGGTGTGTAAGTATTGTCTGTCACATCTCGCATGGTAAGTCCACCTCTAGGTGAACGGGAGTCGGGTGTGCTGATGAGCGGAAACGATAGGTCATGTGGCTCATGCCGCACAACGCGGGTGGGTGCACTGCTGGGTTAGCGGGAGACGGAGTGACAAATACGCAGCTATCGTTCAGTGACTGAGCTGTCGTCATGGAGATGTGATAGGCTGTAGTATGATACCGGTCGTTCTCTGGTGTTTTTGTTGTCTGTTTTTGCGGCAGTTTTTACAGTGATGTGTCTAGTGGAAATGGCGGAGCTGCTATCGGGCACCTCATACACCATATGTTTGCCGTTTGGTAATTAAATTGTATACCAAGCGTGTACCGTCAGTTACTGCGTGGTTTGGCTTGCGTGTTATATCAGCTGCAAGTCTTCCTTTGATTTAAGACTAAACCCTTCCACCAATTTCGCACCACCAACGCGGTTAACTATAACACTTGCAGGCGCTAAATCTGACTTATTTTGTCTGAAGTATTTCAGCTCTCCGCTGACCCCGCCTGTCTGCCTCGTCCACAGGGCTTCCAGGCGCTGCTGGAGCGCGAGTGGCTGGACTTTGGCCACAAGTTCGCCGACCGGTGCGGTAACGCCGTCTGCACAGAGGACGCCAACGAGCGGTGTCCCGTGTTCCTCCAGTGGCTCGATTGTGTCTACCAGCTGACGCAGCAGTTCCCCTGCGACTTCCAGTTTAACATGGCCTACCTGGTGAGAGCGGCAGAGCAGCCCGGGGTCAGAGGGAGCGACAGGGACGGTCTCCGCTCGGCCGCCGCTGCGGTGGCATGGTGCCGCTTAGTGATGCGTTGTGGATCCCTTATTTACCAGTACGGTCAGTGAATACGGTGATCAATAACGTCCTGCACCCACATTGGGCGCACACATGTAACTGAGCCTTGCTTCCTGGACGCCGCACTTATGCAGTGCTGTATTTCGTCGAGTGTAGGCCGTCACTAGCAGCGGCGACCTCTGCAGTGCCGCTGAGCGGGCGGCCGCCGCTCGGGGGCGCCGGCGCCGTCTACTCTAGGTGTCTCTGTGTCCGGATCTGACCTTCCCCCGCTCCGCAGGTGAAGCTGGTGCACCACGCCTACTCGGGGCTGTTCGGCACGTTCCTGGGTAACTCTGCGCGGGACAGGGAGGCCGCGCAGCTGTCCAGCAGCACGTACAGCGTGTTCGCCTACCTGCGCGCCAACCGGGACCGGTTCACCAACTACCTATACAGCAACCGCGGCAAGGTGGGCGGAACGGCCGGCCGGCGGCACTGGGAGATCAGGGTGCGGTGAGGGGAGGGCTGTGTAGATCCAACAGTGAGGTGATAAAAGGACTGCTGTTCCGCATCCTCAAGAGCTCCGCCAGCCGGTTGACGTGCCCCCTCCCCCCTCATTGTAATGTAACTTATAATAATTTCTGGCTGAATAGACTTTGTTGCTAGCCATGCCTTACATCGTTCAGTTCCTCGTCCTCCTCGCCTTGCAGTCCCTCCTAATTCAGTCACTCATTTCCCCTCCGGCTGACCCGCCGTGTCTCTAACCGCCCTGTGTGTGTACGGCCACCAGGTGCTGACGCTGTCGTTCGGCCCGGCTCGTGACCCCTACCCTGAACCCTCCCTGACTGACCCGCCCTGTGTGTGTACGACCGCCAGGTGCTGACGCCGTCGGTGCACCCGCGCGACCTGTGCCTCTGGTCGGCCGTCTACCTGGGCTCGGTACCGCCCTGCCCGGACGAGGCCATCCCGCGGCCAGCGCCGCCCGACGAGCCCTCCGAGCCGGCCGCCGCCGACACAGCCAAACAGCTGGTGCGCACCCGCAGCTGCGAGGACCTCACCGAGCGGAAGGAGCTGACACGCACCGCCAGCGACCCCAGCCTGCTGGACACGTGAGTGGCTCGGAGGAGCGGGGGAGGGGTGACCACAGCCTGGCGGACCCAGCCGCGTAGGGCTGACTGACCCGACCTCAGCTTGCTGGACGCGTGAGTGGCCAGACTCTACCCGCAGTAGGTAGGAGCTAACCCGACCCCAGTCGCGGTATGAGCAGAGTAGCCCCAGCCGAAACAGAGCTGGCTGACCCGCCTTCCAGTCGCGGTACGGCTGACCCGACCCCAGCCGCAGTGGGAGCGATGCGCGCTCCTCTGATGCACATCAGACGCCCTGTTGCTTTTATGGCTGTTGGCCCGGCCGAAGTTGGCGTTCTCGGCTGTGTTGGCTCGCTGCCGCCGAGACATTTCCAACGGGAAGCGGCCCACTTGCCGCTGTTTAACTGCCGCGCTCGCCGTTTAGGGAGCGTTATTTTCAGTTCTATTGGCGTTTGATGGACTCACGAGCACCCTCTCTTGGCTCATTCCTTCCGAGCCATCTAACATGCACAAGCGCTCCGTCTTGTATAGCCTCAGGGGGCAGATGGCCGTCTCAACTGGCGGCCTCCATATGAGTCCGGGCGGCGTCTGCGGCCGTTACGAGCGCGCCGCGCCGCTGCCGGCCGGAGCGGCGGACCCACAGCCCCGACCGGGCGCCTGTTGGGCCGCAGCTGGCGCGGACGGCGGCGGACGCCGGCCACCGCCGTCGGACAGACGGAACTGAGAGCAAACGGCCGCGTTATGGGCGCGCTGGTCTGCGGTTTACTGGCCGGCCGGCCGGCCACCGCCGCAGCCGACGCCAAATGGCTCTGCCGGCCGCGGGATGCGGGCGATATTTGCAAATGTCAGCTGCGGTGAGGGCTGCGGGATTGCTTGAATATTTGATTCTGCAGATGCAGCTAACGGTCGGTGATGGCGGCATGAGTTCTGCACGGCCGTGCCTGGTGCTCTGGGCCGTGGGCCGTGTCCCCGTCGACCCCTGCTGGAATGTCTCTGACTACTGAGGGTGGGTTTGCCGGGCCGTGTTTGACCGCCTGTCTGTCTCTGCGCCAGGTGCGGGAAGGAGCCGGAGTCGGACGTGCCGCCGTGCGCCGGCGAGGAGGCCGAGCCGCCGCCGGACGGAGACGCCGCCGGCCGGCCGGACGCGGCGTCGGCCGTGACTCTGGCCGAGGACGCCGACTCCGGGGTGCCGGCCGAGTCGCCGGAGGGCAGCGAGGCGGCCGGCGACACGAGTAGCTGCGGCGGCGGCGTCACCGGCTCCACGGACACGCTGGCGGCCGAGCGGCGCGAGCGCAGCACCTCCACCAGCGACATCAGTCACTCGGGCGTGCGTCAGCGCTGCGTGTGCCACCAGCTGCGGCGGCTGGTGGCACGCCGCGCCGGCGCCAGCCCCGGCCACAGCCGCACGCCCAGCTCCGGCTTTCCCGCCACGCCCAACGACGACAGGTGAGACTGCGGGACGGGCGGGGCCCCGCCGCGCCGGACCGGGGGGAGCGGCGCATCTACGGGGCTGGACGGGATGTACAAAACGGGCGTGATAGTGTGGCACATGATCGATATAAGTGTCGATTGACTCCCCCGGAATTTGTACAACCATCTGCGATCCTCCCTAGTTTATTTGTGCACCAGCGTGTCCTCGCTCCGTCATTTCCGATACACATCCGTCACATCGTCCTTTCATCATGGTTTGTTAGCCCCAATCCTTCTCTGATCACACCGGCAGCAGTGTATCGCAACACATTAACCTTTTCAGCGTCCCGAGAACGGCCGGCGATCGGCCGGCGCCGGCACGCATTTGGGTTCCTTATTTAGCGCAATGGCCGGTGATCCGTCGCTGATGTCAGTCTATCGGACGGGCTCCAGGAACCGGCCGACGGCGGGGCTCTGGCCTGCTGCGTCGGCCGCTGGTGTTCCGGGGATGGGAGCTCACCGGGCTGCGCCGGTGCCTGGGCTCTGGCCGTACTGTCGGTCGCTGCTATACCGTGACTGGCAGATTACCTGCTGTGGTGGCTGGGCTGTAATATGCTGGGGTCGGAAGACCACCGGTCGATGTATGTGCTCTGTGCTGTGGTACGCCGGGGACGGGGACAGGGGAGGCTCTTTTCTGTATTCTGACGGTGCCGCCAACCGCTGACACGCCGCGGGACTGGAGCTCGGCTGTACTCTGCCGAGGGCTGGGAGGCTCTGCTCTGTTATGTACTCTTGACGGTCCCGCCGACCGCTGACACACCGGGGACGTGCTGCCTGGCTAATCAGCCCCGAACTGAAACCATGATGAGGCGGCTGGCCGCGCGGAGACCCCAGGGGCGGCCGGCAGACCGGCTCCCCGCGCCGGCGACAGGTGCGGGGTGACTGAGTACAGTCGCCCGTCAGCGCGCCCGGTGGCATTCAGAAGTTGGTGGGCTTTCAGAACAGTTGTGGGAATTCACTCGTGCCAAACATGTTTGCGGTTCGAGGCTCGAGCATATGGGTGTAATTTGGATAAGCATTGATCCCAGCTGTATTTCTACGGGCTTTCTTTGTGTGCTGTTTGCCGTAATCTGAATGCAGCGCTCCCTGCCGCTCAGAAGTTTGTCGTGCTCGGCTCGGGTTTGGTGCGCAGAACTAGCCGCAGGGTCGGCTGGGTCGGCTCGGTGTGACGGCTGTTTCCGGTGCCGGGACGTGTCCGCGGCGCCGTGGGCCGGTCAGCCGGCCGGGCCCGGTGGCCGGCTGCCGCGGCCCGTGGGCGGACAGTCCGCGGCGCCGGGTCGGCCGGGCCGGCACCGACTGTAAATCCCCGGACCGGCGCGGCGCGCCGCCGCTCCGGACCCGAGTTACGGCCGGCGGCGCGGTCCACCAGCCGTGGACGGTGCGGCGCAGTCCAGCAGCAGCGGCGGACTGTTCGGCTGAGTCCACCAGCAGTTGTGGATGGTGCGGCACAGTCCACCGGCAGCTGTGGACGGTCTGACACAGTCCGTCGGCAGAGGTGGACGCTCTGACACAGTCCACTGGCGGCTGTGGATGATCCGACACAGTCCACCAGCAGCTGTGGATGATCCGACACAGTCCACCAGCAGCGGTGAACTGTCGGGCTCAGTCCACCAGCACTTTGTCAGTCCACGATTAGGCTGTGGACAGACTGGTTGGCAGTTCACGTCCAGCATCTCTGGACTGCGGATGCAACAGGCCAGACACGGCCACTCCCCGGATTGGCGTGGAACTGATTGCGGGGATGCCCTCTGGACATTGCTGGGAACCATCCAAGCCGGATGACTCCCGGAAGGTCCCGTTATATAAGGCGCTGCTGCCAGCGCGGACGCCCACGCCCCGTGCGTGGCGCAGTGGGGAGGGGCCACTCGGCTCGCAGAAGCTCGGTCCTTAGCGTCGGCTGCAGCCGGCCGTGGCTTCTGGGAAAATGACCGGTCCCGACTGAGTTACGGGACTGACGGCCACATTTACGCCGGCTATTCGTCTTGGGTCTTCCAGCACCGTGAACCTGTGACATTTGGCGCATCGACCTGCTGTCGGCTGGAACGACTAAATGTCCCAGTGCTTCACTGTTGAACCCACTGGTAAGCACGGCTGTGTAATCGCACCGCGCTATAGCGTACACTGGTTGTGTGACTGCACGCCGCTTGTTCCGATTCCGCTGCATTCGTGCGACATTTGCTGCCATAACTATGGGGAAAAGTGTGGGCGGCTGCCGTATCATGCCATTTCGTGTTATATGTTCAGTCAGTTCAATAGGAGTGACCGGCACAGATGTGACGCAGTTGCCGTCAGGTCCTTCCTCACCACCCGTGTGTTGTGTGATCCGCCCTCTCGTCTGACCTTACCTTGTACTCGGAGGCTCTCTCGGGCTCCGATGACCACCGCAGATGATCGGACGGCCCACGGTCTGATCAGAGGCCCGCCGTCCATCCCTCCCCACCTTCTGTGTAACCTGCCCCTCCTCCCCGTCTGCTGTGTGACCTGTCTCCCCCTCTGACGGCGACCCCGTGTCGGCAGGCTCTCTGAGCGGACGGCCCGCCGCATGATCTGCTTCTCCCTCTGACGGCTACCCTATGCGACCCGCAGGCTGACTGAGCGGACGGCCCGCCGTATGACCTGTTTCGTCTGACGGTGACCCTTTGTGACCCTTTGCCCGCAGGCTGTCGGAGCGGACGGCCGACTCGGCGTCGGGCCGCCGGCTGGAGATGGACGGCCTGCCCCGTGTCAAGGACGACCTACACCAGCGGCTCTACCATATGCACATGGCGCACAAGGTACGGTCCGGCCGGCGAGCACTGTCAGCCGACGGGTGGGGTAGCTGTAGCTGTCCCGGCATGTGCTCAACGCACTGGGAGAGCAGGGTCTGCACCCCACAATTACGCTTCAGTTGATTACATGACTCGGCCTTTGCCAAGTTAGTCGACATTCTGTGTTTGCACACGGCCTGTGTCTTCTGTGTTTGGCCGGACCGTCCAAGTCTGTCGGCTCGGGCGTTTTGACGGCGTTTCTTGTCTACACGGACGTTTCTATAAGAGACGAAACCTGTTATGCATCTGTTTTTTTTTTCTTCTCTATCCACCCTTTGCGTCGCGTTTTTCCTAGAAGTGGCATATCGTTAGTAGCGGCAGGCTCTGTGTAGAACCAGTTTACCCAAAGCAAGCACTTCCATCTACGTTGCTTGTGTGGACCGAAACTTTGCTTATTCTGGCCTTTGGAGGTCTGGGCTGGTGTTCTACAACTCCAAACGGAATTACCGTAACTTATGTCTTGTTTCGAATTGCTGCATTCTTTTTCAACTTAGTCCTATTTGTGTGACAGCGCCCAGACTGCACACTCGACGGACCTTTGTTATGTAGATTAGCCGAGCTGCCGACTTCACAAGCTTCTCTTAATTTTGAATTCACCCGAGTTGCTGGACGAATCCCGGGGCCGGTCTGAGAGCGCCGTACGGGCTGACCGTGCGGGGCTCGTTTCCGGGCGCCGGTCTCTGTCCACTCTGGCGGTCGGTCTCCGTCCCTTCCTCCTGTGACCCCCCCCCCCCCCCCCCGCCGGTCTCTGTCCACTCTGGCGGTCGGTCTCTGTCCCTCCCTCCTGTGACTGCCGCCCCCCCCCCCCCGCTGCCCGTCTCTGTCCACTCTGGCGGTCGGTCTCTGTCCCTCCCTCCTCCCTCCCGTGACCGCCGCCCGCCGGTCTCTGCCCGCTGGCTGTTTAGTCGGCCGGTAATCTGGCCGGTCCGTCCCTCTCCCGCCGGGTCGGCCGCCGTTCTCCATCCTCTGGCTGTTTAGTCGGCCGGTAATCTGGCCGCTCCGGCCGCCGGGTGTCCGGGGAGTGCTGGCCACCGGCGCTGGCGGCCCGATGACCCCCCGGTGGGTGCTGCCGGCCGGCGCGGCGCGCCCCACCCCTCCCGACAGAGCAGTGCCGCGCCGCGCCGGCCGCTCTACAGCCGCCGGCACTCGGCGAACGGCGACAGGCCAGTCCGTCTGAAATGGCGGCCACTCTCCGTCTGTGCCCCACGCGTCGGAGCGATGGTCTTTAGGGCTCTCGTGATGGTGATCGTTTTGCTTTAGGGCGTGCCGTAAATGTGGAGGGTTTATGGGCTCGGGCGGATTCGTGTGCGGTGCTGGCGGGATCGTCGGGCTCGAGATTTCATCAATCTCGCCTGCCAAGAGTGTCACAGCTTGTGAAGTAGAGTGGAGCCGGGAGGATATGGCGATGGAAAGGTCCAAGCGTCTCAGATGCATCGCGACGTAAGGGTCATTTATCCACTGAAGTTGTGTGCTTGTGCGCTCCGCATCATTTCACATCACCGGTTTCTGGGAACCCCCGCAGTACTTTCTTATTTCTGGTCACTGGTTGTGTTCTATTGGTATGTTTATTTCCCGTGTCGCCGGCCCCCAATCCCATGGTCGTTTTGTACCCGGCGCTACGCTAGCACGAAAATAATGGTCGGCCATGGGATGACAGAGACATATGCGCTGGGTCGTCGGTAATCTGGCGGCGCGCGGCTCGTCTGCGCCCCTCCCCTCCCCTCCCCTCCCCTCCCCGGGCGGTGCGGCGCTCGATGGCGCGTATGCAGATGACGGTGGCGGTCGGGCCGATGGTCACTCGCCGCTGTCGTCCCGGTCCGGAGACCAATCGGTGGAGCAGCCAGCCGTGAGATGGCCGCCGCGCTCGGCTGGCCCGCAGGCCCGGCCCGCGCGCCGCCGGCTGTCACAGCCACCCGGCCGGCGCGGTCGCCCTCCCGGCCGCCGCGCCGTGTCGCGCCCATCAGCGCTGTTCTGTGGTTTTATGTAGCTACTCGGCGAGCGGGGAGGCGCCGTTTCTGTACGGCAACAGGCGCTGTATTGGCCGATCGCCGGTGACAGCACGCCGCCGCCCTTTGTGCCGGCAGCGGAGAGCGGCGGGGTGGCTGCGCTCTCCCGCGGCGCTGCCGTCGGAGCCGGCCGGCCGCCGCGCGTATCGACCAAGCGGCGGCGCGGCGGCGTGCGCCAGCCACCTGTCCCCGCGGGCCCGGCCACTCGGCCGGTACGGCGCACCGAATACCGACTCGGTGCCGGTTTACGAGAGCGCGCCGCGCCCGACGCGATTGTTTGTCGGCGGCCGCGCCGAGCAGCTCGGTTATTGCCGGCCGGCCGGGGAGGGACGTCCGCCGTCCGCTCGGCAAACACGGGCCGCTCAGTTACGGCCGCCGGCGCAGCGGGGCACTGGGCTATGTTGATGGTCGTACTGCTGGTATTGCGGTGGCGATACGGGACAGACGGCCAGGGAGAGGCATCGGCGGCTGCCTATGGACATGGTGATTTCAGTGCAGTCCTGTGTGTCGATGGTTTTATTAGTCGAATTGCTGCACAGAATTGGCAGGATGCTGATGATGCGCGGTTGGAGTGAGAACTTCTTGAGTTTGCAGTAAGAATGGAGAAAGGATTTCGGCTGATGGATGCCCTGTACAGACACTGGAACTATTCGACTGTGCTTCAGCTTGCTTACTGTTGCTTCAATATGTGCCTGGCTGTATGTTTATCTTGCGATGTATGCAGTACCAGGCCCAATCATTGTGTCATGCAGGAACGGGAGGAGCCTCGAGCCAGAATCGCGATCGGCTATATTTCTGCGGAACCGCGGTGATTTTGCTCGTTAGCATCACCTCGGCGTTAGACGTGCGCCAGCCGCTGATTTACATCCAAATGACAATTTTTAACCGGCGCTCGATGAGCCGTGATGCTGCGCGGATTAATGTTGGCCTTTGATGAAATTCACCCCGACTTGTGAACGCCTGGGATGAGTTTGCCATTAAATTTGATGGCCTTGGCCGGTGGAGTTGCCGGATGCCGGCGGCGGCGGGTGATCTGTGTAGCTGATGAGTTTCTGTAATAAGGTAACTTTGGGCGGCGTGCCGGCAGTGGGAGCCATTCGCCGGTCCCCGCGCCGCGCCGGGCGTCGCCGTGCAGTCGGCAATCTCTCTGCGTCAATTCCCGGTGCCTCCGGTGTGCCGAGAAACGGAATGCCCCAGCGTCTTCGCCACCCAAGTTGGGCCGTAAATGGGCCGAGCTCCGAGCCACCGCCGCCTCAGTCTCAGTATTATGGTCGGATACAATTTAAGCTTTGGTAAAGACGCTGGCTCTAAATTCGGCTATCCGCCCAGACGGCGATGGTAATGAAAAGCACTGGCTTTCTGGCCAATTAGTATTCTGACTGCCTTGAGCTGCAGCTGAATGTAAGGCGTTGTTCCTGCGCTGAATGCAGCACTATGGAAAAGAACAATGGGCGGAAATGCCTGATATTATTTTCAGCGACAACGAAGCTCAGAACAGCGTCGCTGCTTAATTGAATTTGGGCAGCGAGTGGGCTGGTGCCGTCTGCCCGCGTTGCCAGAGTTGGGTCCAATGCAAAGGAGCGCCTGGGAAATTAGGCTGATACGATTTGCAGCAACAACAATGGGCGTCTGACGAGGAAGATCGATGTGGCACGTGCGGTCTGGATGCCGTCGGTGATGGCTGAAGCGTCCGCGGTGGGTGAGCTGAGCGGCCACAGCTGGCCCGCTGGCTGCCGTGTGGGCGTGCCGCCGGACCGGTGCACAGTGTGGCCAAACACCAGTTTAGCGCGAATTAAATCCCAGCGCTGCTCGGATCCGTTGAAAATGGTTCCCTGGTCTCAAAATTGACACATAAACCTATGTGAGACCTTTTACGATGCATTATAAATGCTTGCTGACATATAATGGCATGGTTCCGCCTCTAAAAGTAAGGAGAACTAGCTTACGACGGGTGATGTGCTTACCAGGCCAGGGCTGTGAAGTGGATGGAGTTACTCCGACTCCGACTACGGCTTTCAAAAGTCAATTTCAATTCTGACTCCGGGCAAAACTGTCGACTTATACGATCGACTCGGACTCTGACTCCGCAGCCATGGCAAGTCCACGCAGTCGATGGATTTTCGGTGACTCAGACTACGAGTCTTGGTCCGGATTCCAAAATCGATTCCGATTCCGACTCTGACTGCAGGGTCAGAACTGTTGACTCCGAACGACTCCGACTCTGATTACGAAATCCTGGAATTTAACCGCAAATAAGAGGCATAAAATTGTGGGTCCCAACAATGATGGGCATGTTAGGAGGAGGAATCGTTTACGAAATTCCCATCATTTCTCTGGTAAATTCTTATGATTGTCCAAAGTTTGCTTGAAAAAAATCAACATCTAATTATGTTTCTGTGTAAATGTTTCTGGTGAAGCACATGAATCGATAGATGGTTGCTGAAATACACGCACCGATAGGACTGAACCTCAGCAATGGGAGTAAAAACAAAGACTTACACCATAAGCACCTTCATGTCATTAAGCCTCGCCCGTATTGGTGTTTTGCTAGCCGCGAACGTAGGTCGGGTCAGGTCAGGTCAGGCCAACCAGTCCTGCCTGGTATTCATAGTTAATAGGTGTCAACCGCCAGTGACAGCTTCGTTGCATGTTACGAAGGCACCAAACCTTCTTCCTAAATGTTCAAATGGTTGCTAAATTCGAAATCAGCTCCAAAAACTAGCCTGGAAGCATGTAAAACTAAAAAAGGTGAACCGAGGTCATCAAAGGTCATTGAACTGACCTGACCTTCAAGTGATCTTGACATCGACCATAATGCATGGGACCAACATCATCATATCACATGTTTAGACGCTTGAAACCACGAAGACTGCAAAGGCGCGGCTAATGCAAGCAAACATACGCCCAATCGCGCTTCCGGCCAAACATGGTCTCGAGAAATAGGTCACAGGTCAAAGGTCATTGGGGTCAGGGTCGTAAAATTTAATGGGTAGGTGTAAAATTGATAAACTCGAGGGTACTGAAAGTTTCGTCGCGATCGGCCGCTTTTTACATGAGCTTTTTGCGAAAAACCGAGAGGGGTCCTTTCGACCCCCACCCTCACCCCCTATATGGGCGAGGGTTGAAAATGTTCAAGATTTATTCATTGGCGACCGTATTCTGCAATATAACAAGTCAGAAATACAGCGGTTGAGCCATCCGCGTAACGTTACGGAGCCGCCGCCGCGCCCACCCTGTAGCCGGACCTCCCCGGGCGGGCCAACCCGATACGTTCAAAGCTGAGCCAAAGGCCGGGGGGCAGGTTGGGGCAGGGTTCCTTGAATGGATCATGTCCAGAAAAGTGTGGCGAATCTTCTCATGGTAGATTTGGCGTGGAGTTTTTTGGCCATTTTCTTATATCTCTACGTCTTTAAGATGGACAGTGTTTTCAGGGGATGTTTGAAAAGGTCATTTTCAAATGAGCATAACTCATCGGTTAGTCCAAGGATACCTATAGAATTCGGGTATACTATCAAATATAGGCTCAGTAGTCATATGCCACTCCAATTATTTCCAAACCTTTCCGACAATTACGCCAAAATGTGTTGTAAACATGACGCGGGTTTTCGACAATTTCAGCACATCCGGGACCGGCATTGCGTATGTCCACTTTAGCTAGCTTTTTGGACACCGAAAGGAAGACTTTGAACCAAAGTATATTGATATTGACATACTTTGGACAATTTCCTATCGACTGATAGTTATAAAAAGTCAAAATTCCAAAATTCGTTTTTTGATTAAATTCGCGCTAATCTGGCGTTTGGCCACACTGTGCGGTGAGGGAGGCGCGGCGACTGACCGAACCATCGGCCTCCAATGGTCCGTGGCCGGCGGCGCGGTCACCCGAGCGGGCCGTGCCGCCCCATTGGTCAGCCGCCGCCCCGGCAGTCGTGTGCTGGTCAGCTCTGGGTGCCGGTCAGCTCCGGACTCCGGTGTGCCGGTCAGCGCCGGTGTGCCGGTCAGCACCGATCAGCTCCGGTGTGCCGGTCAGCTCCGATCAGCTCCGGTGTGCCGGTCGCGTTCCGCGCCGTCCGTCTCCCCACCGCCCGCCGGCTCTCCGGCCGTACCGAGTGTTGTGGAGCGCGGCGCCGCCGGTGCCGCCAAGTGTAGGCGGTATATTGACCGGCCACTCTGGCGGCGGTCCGCTGTGGCCATCGGGCCGCGCCGCGCCGCGCCGCCGGCTGATAAATCAGCCAGGTCGCCCTCGCCGCCGCCGCCGCCGCCGCCCCCGCCCGGCCGTATGCAGATGGGCGGCCGCTGTGCGCGGCTGAAGGCGGTGGCCGGGCGAGCGCTGCCGGCACAGCAGTGCTGCTGCGGAGGGGCCAGCGGAATACGTCCGCCATGGGCCTGGATTGATGGTCCGACGAGATCTGAGTGGTTGGCACGCTGTGCTTATCAAAGTGAGCGGCAGCTACATTCTATTGGACTATCTTTGGAATGTTGACGCTCTATATGTGTCGGCCCGCTTTGCTAGCCAACAAAACCCTATAGGTCGGCATGGACCTTTGTCTCTTATGCGCATTGTCTTTGTTTTTGTATGCGGTTCGATACAATCTCATTCCAGGTTGACAGGTCGTTCCCACCTGCTCCCGATGTCACCCCTCCCCTCCCATTGGTGCCCCCCCCCCCCCGAGGGGGCCAATGCTCCCACCTGCTACCCAGTGTCACCCAGAGTGGGTCAGTGTTCGATTGATTGTAGTATCGGCGCCCCCCATAGTTCCCGCAGCAGCAGGCGTTAATTGTCGTGCTGTGACTAATGATGGTAGTTTTAGCTGACTGTCTTTTGAGATGTCTCATGGGTGGTTGTATTTGTGCAATAAGATTGATTATTATAAATAGCCAATGGCCCTAGACTCTGTACACTGTGTACAGAGGTCTATGAAATAGTTTATCATTGAAATGTAATGATGTTTCAAATCATAACCGACCGGTGACTCTGGCTTCGCGCCCTCAGACGATTCGTGAGGCCTGTCTCCGTCGTCTGTGTGGCTCCGGTCCGGAGAGGCAGGGCTCCGTTAGCTGTGGGTATGGCTCCCTTCTGAAGGCCTGTTAGATATTCATGATATGCGCCCGCTGCGAAATGCGTTCCACCGTTTCTATTTGCCGGCTCGGCTTATATGTCGCGCGGAAGCCGCACTGGGCGTGTCACAAATTATCGCCGCGGAGAACGTGTCGATAGTGGCAATTCCAAATGTGAGGTTCGGCTGTGAACACCTAATATCGCTGACGTGTTTGGCGTTTTTATTTGGAACCAATTGTGGTGCGTCTCAGGCCTGTCAGTCCAGCCCGATTTCATTTTCTGTGTATTTATTTGTTTGCCTCCTTTCCGGTCTCAATTAAGCCTAGAATTGGTTGGTCACTTATGTCCGTAGATCCTGATTTATGTCTGACGTTTTGAGCCCAAACACGCAGTTCTGCCAACGCATTACCGTCGCCGTATATCAACTGCTAAGGATGCTTAAAACCGATTCTTACGGGAGGCGTTAATTCCATTACAGCTTATGACAACATTAAGTGTTCTACAGAATGCTCTCAACATGATGCAGTTCTTAGTTGGCTGTCTTTCTTTTGACTCGGTATCCACGCTGTCTGTCACAACTACACTAAGATCAACTATACTAAGATACTATACTAAGATCTAGATGAAAGGGAGGGTAGGAGCCGGTGTGGGTTGAGATGCAGCTCCTCCAATTTCATTTTTCGAAAGGTGCAAATTAAATAAAAGAATCAAAAATGTCTTTAAATGAAACGACGTGCCTGCTGTCAACGTGTCAGCGTCAGGTGCTTCGAATGTCACATCCAATTGACGTAATTCGTTCGTTCAAATTCGAATCAATGCAATCAGTGTGCCACGTTAAATGAATCAAAGTTGATTAAAATTCTGAGCTGGCTCGCGTCCAAGCGTGCTACTGATTGGCGTCCTTTCTGCCCAGCTGCGAACACACTGCTACTCCGCTGGTGCGCTGCCCTTTGCTGAGAGTTGGTGTCTGAGGGTGACCGCTGCCGTGTGCCTGTGCTGGTCTCTGTGTGCTGGTGTCTGCCGTGTGCCTGTGCTGGTATCTGTGTGTTGGTGTCTGAGGGTGACCGCTGCCGTGTGCCTGTGCTGGTCTCTGTGTGCTGGTGTCTGAGGGTGACCGCTGCCGTGTGCCTGTGCTGGTCTCTGTGTGCTGGTGTCTGAGGGTGACCGCTGCCGAGTGCCTGTGCTGGTCTCTGTGTGCTGGTGTCTGAGGGTGACCGCTGCCGTGTGCCTGTGCTGGTCTCTGTGTGCTGGTGTCTGAGGGTGACCGCTGCCGAGTGCCTGTGCTGGTCTCTGTGTGCTGGTGTCTGAGGGTGACCGCTGCCGTGTGCCTGTGCTGGTCTCTGTGTGCTGGTGTCTGAGGGTGACCGCTGCCGTGTGTCCTGTGCTGGTCTCTGTGTGCTGGTGTCTGAGGGTGACCGCTGCCGTGTGCCTGTGCTGGTCTCTGTGTGCTGGTGTCTGAGGGTGACCGCTGCCGAGTGCCTGTGCTGGTCTCTGTGTGCTGGTGTCTGAGGGTGACCGCTGCCGTGTGCCTGTGCTGGTCTCTGTGTGCTGGTGTCTGAGGGTGACCGCTGCCGTGTGTCCTGTGCTGGTCTCTGTGTGCTGGTGTCTGAGGGTGACCGCTGCCGTGTGCCTGTGCTGGTCTCTGTGTGCTGGTGTCTGCCGTGTGCCTGTGCTGGTCTCTGTGTGTTGGTGTCTGAGGGTGACCGCTGCCGTGTGCCTGTGCTGGTCTCTGTGTGCTGGTGTCTGAGGGTGACCGCTGCCGTGTGCCTGTGCTGGTCTCTGTGTGCTGGTGTCTGAGGGTGACTGCTGCCGAGTGCCTGTGCTGGTCTCTGTGTGTTGGTGTCTGAGGGTGACCGCTGCCGTGTGTCCTGTGCTGGTCTCTGTGTGCTGGTGTCTGAGGGTGACCGCTGCCGTGTGCCTGTGCTGGTCTCTGTGTGCTGGTGTCTGAGGGTGACCGCTGCCGAGTGCCTGTGCTGGTCTCTGTGTGCTGGTGTCTGAGGGTGACTGCTGCCGTGTGCCTGTGCTGGTCTCTGTGTGCTGGTGTCTGAGGGTGACCGCTGCCGTGTGCCTGTGCTGGTGTCTGAGGGTGACCGCTGCCGTGTGCCCTGGGCTGGTCTCTGTGTGCTGGTGTCTGAGGGTGACCGCTGCCGTGTGCCTGTGCTGGTGTCTGAGGGTGACCGCTGCCGTGTGCCTCTGCTGGTCCCTGTGTGCTGGTGTCTGAGGGTGACCGCTGCCGTGTGCCTGTGCTGGTCTCTGTGTGCTGGTGCGGACCGCCGTGTCTCAGACGGAGCCGGTTGTGACGGCCGCCCTGTGTGTCCCTCCGTTCCTCAGATGGAGGTGGAGGCGCTGCGGCGCGACCTGCACATGACCCGGCTGGCGCTGTGCAGCCAGGTGTCGTTCCAGTGCTCCTCGGCCGGCCGACACGCCGACCGGCCGGACGAGGCGGTGAGTGTTCACTGTTCAGTGCTCAGTGTTCAGTGTTCAGTGCTCCTCGGCCGGCCGACACCCGGACCGGCCAGACGAGGCGGTGAGTGCTCCAGTGGTCAGTGTTCAGTGTTCAGTGCTCCTCGGCCGGCCGACACGCCACCGACCGGCCAGACGAGGCGGTAAGTGTTCACTGTTCAGTTTTTGGTGTTCACCGGCCGCCGACCGGCCAGACGAGGCGGTGAGTGTTTACTGTTCAGTGCTCAGTGCTCCTCGGCCGGCCGACACGCCGATCGGCCAGACGAGGCGGTAAGTGTTCCAGTGTTCGGTACTCAGTGTTCAGTGTTCAGTGCTCCTCGGCCGGCCGACACTTTACCGACCGGCCAGACGAGGCGGTGAGTGTTTAGTATTCAGTCCCTCCCGACCGGCCAGACGAGACTGAGTGATCAGTGTTCAGTGTTCATGACACCCTGACCGGCCAGACGAGGCTGTGAGTGCTCAGTGTTCGGTGCTTTTGACACTCCGAGCGATGCCGTCGCTCGGCACACCGGCCGGGACGGGGCACAGACTGCAGACTCACGAACACTCATATTTATCACTAATTCTGAACTGTTCCACGAGCCTGTCTGGGTCTGGCCCCACCGGCAGGCGTCCGCCGATGTACCGCGGTTCCGCAGCTGCTCTGTGTTTGTCCGCGGACTCCCTCCCGCTCGGTGCATGCCCGCGCTCCTCGCTGCCATATTATGAAACTCCGATCGCCGCTCAATCAAACTGCCGCCAACAAGTTAGCGGTGGGCGCGGAGTTTGATTGGTGCTGCCGGCGCGCTCAGCTGTCAGTGAGCCGACGGCCGCACTGCGGAACTTCTCCGACAGAGTAAATTGGCCGTGAGTGGATAGCGGCCGGCCGGCCGGTAGTTAATTCACGACGTGGATGCCATCCATTTCCAAAGGTAGTGCGAGCGCTTTTATGAAGATATTTCTTTCTTTCTTTCTTTCTTTCTTTCTTTCTTTCTTTCTTTCTTTCTTTCTTTCTTTCTTTCTTTTTAAAGCTCTTTTTTAAAGCTGCGTTGAAGGTAGCACCTGAGGTGACACCCACGGGTGGAGAATGTTTGAAAAAGTTACCCCGGCCGGCGACCGAAAGTCAGAAAGACGATGATGCTCTAATATTTGTCAACGGTTATCAACAAACCCCTATTCTGTGGCATAGAATAATGGATGTCTGCCGTTTGTACGTTTTTAGGGAAAACTGCTGCACGCAGGTGCGGAAGATTTCGTAATTGTAACAACAATTTTGCAACACGCCTTTAAATTTCGGACGTATGTCACCTAGTGCTAGGTCAGATCATCAGGTCAAATATGCTGGATGATCGTGCTAAAAAATGCCATCATGTCCTTTGCAAAGCTTATTCCGTGGAAGTTGCAACCTTCCCACACAAAACAAAATGTCAAATTTGACCGTTTTGACCCTCTTATTGATTTGAGCTCGCACCTGAAATATTATTCGCGACCGAGCCTTAAACGAGTAATCGAATGTTTTGTTTGCAGTGTTTAAGCTCCATTGTTCATGAACTGTGAGAAAAGTTGTCAGAGAACGCTAAAATCAGAGCAATTTGGCTTTTGATGATCTATGGTGATTTTATTATTGAGCTTGCCTAAAACATGACCAGATTTCTCTGATCACGTTTGTCGCTCTTTCAAACGTCGTTCCGCTTCTCGCCTCGTAGCCCAGTAACCGAGTTAGAAGGAGCGTGAAAAGCCCACCTCTCGACTCAACGTGTTACGATAAGGCCACCACCCTGGCGTGGGTTAAGTTGGGGGAGCCTTGAGCCCCAGCAGCTCGTCCTTCTATCTCACTGATATGACCCTCGTCCTGTCTTGTGATGTTATTACAGTGCCATCTTCGATAACGGCCCTTACATATGATTTACTTCTGTTTGATGAAACATGTCGGGCTCCGCGATGAAAAGACTTAAAGGGACTATCCCACCTTTAACATGGGGTTTGAGTTGAGATAGCCAGGTTTGCGGCGAGGTTCAGAAACCACTATCTATCTAGGTTGCAACCCCCGCGGCCTCTTGGTGTTGAAGAAATTCGTTCCCTTCATTTGAAAATGGGCCTTGCACAAGGCCCTATCTTCAACATGGAGCAACCGTTAGTGTGACGTCACCTCGTTTAGTCATTCTGATTTAAATGGGTTTGTTCGTTGAAAAATCGCTTAAAACTTGGTCTGAACTTTGTTGTGGTGCCTACAGAGTAAAAAGAATCAGCTTTATGACAGTAATGTGGCCTGGGGAAGGAGGTAATTTTGGGCTGTGACGTCACATATTTGAAAGTTTGTGTTTGGAATATGGGAAGCCTAAGATGTTTAATGAAAAATAAATGCCAGAACCGTGTTCCTGGTCATCCAATCTATAAAGTCGGGCACAATTTAACTGGTTTTAACAGCATTTTAGAAGGTGGGATAGTCCCTTTAAAAACATAGAAGCTTCTAAATGAAAATAAAGCAAATTTTCAAGAACTTTTCAAGGCAGATAAGAATAATGAGAGACGCTTTTATAGATGGCAGTTTTTTCGTATCGAGACAGCTTTTAGGATTTACAAAAGTGGAAAAAGTTACCCCGGCCGCGCCGGGGTCGGCTGAAAGTTACCCCGGCCACGGCCGGGGTGGCCGGGGCAGGTTCTCCACCCATGGTGACACCAGTTGCATGGCTGTTAAAACCAGTTTTCTAATTACACTTTGCACCAACGGCCAATGTCTGCATTCAATCTACTCATATACCTTTTATTGGTGCCAATCGGAATTTCTTTTCTTGGAATTCCAATTTTTGTCCAATTCCAATTTGGAATTTGGACGGAATTCTTAACATTTTTTGGAAATCAATCGGAACACAAGGCCTTTAAAATTTAAAATTTTAAAACGGAGGCCTTTAAACGCTTTTAAACACTTTTAAAATTTACGCAAAAAATGCAAAAATCGTTAAAAATTGGAATAGCCCCGCTTTGGACAAGGTTGGAAATTTACTTGGCAATTTCTTGGAATTGGATCGGAATTGGAATTGAAATTTCATGAAATTGGCACCACTAATACCTTTGCAACCAGGCGGCGTCGAACAGTTTGTCGTTTCTGTCTGTCTGTCTGTCTGTCTGTCTGTCTGTCTGTCTGTCTGTCTGTCTGTGTGTCCCAGGATCTGGCGGCGGCGCTCGAGGAGCAGCTCTCGGTCGGTCTGTGATGTCTGTCTGTCTGGGTCGGTCGGCCGGTGATGTGTGTCTGTCTGTCTGTGTGTGTCCCAGGATCTGACGGCGGCGCTCGAGGAGCAGCCTTCTGTAATGTGTGTTTCTCTGTTTCAGGATCTGACGGCGGCGCTCGAGGAGCAGCTCTCGGTCGGTCGGTGATGTGTTTCTGTCTGTGGGTCGGCCGCTGATGTGTCTGTCTGTGTGTGTCCCAGGATCTGACGGCGGCGCTCGAGGAGCAGCTCTCGGTCGGCCGCTGATGTCCTGTCTGTCTGTGGGTCGGCTGCTGATGTGTCTGTCTGTGTTTCAGGATCTGACGGCGGCGCTCGAGGAGCAGCTGTCGGTCGGTCGGTGATGTGTCTGTCTGTCTGTGTGTCCCAGGATCTGACGGCGGCGCTCGAGGAGCAGCCTTCTGTAATGTGTGTTTCTCTGTTTCAGGATCTGACGGCGGCGCTCGAGGAGCAGCTCTCGGTCGGCCGGCAGTCGTCCACCTCGGACGGCGGCAGCTGGGAGGCCGTGGAGGAGGCCGACGCGCGGCCGCAGCTCTGGGTGCCCGACTACGCGGCACAACGCTGCACCGGCTGCGACACAGAGTTCTGGCTGGGCCGCCGCCGACACCACTGCAGGTACGGACCGGCCCGGCAGCGCCGACCGCGACCGGGGCCTTGTGATGACGGCAAGTCATCTAGAAATGAAATAATGTGTGCCAATGATTGTATCATGGCCAGTATTTTTATGAGGAAAAATAATAATTTATTTTCTTCTAGCCAGGTCCACCGGCCAGTTTTAGACTAGAGCCTTGATAGTTCTCGAAACTCTTGGATGGTGATGTGGCGTCATATCATCTGAGACATTTGGACACTCATTAAATTCTGAAATAGCGTCGCCGTTTTGATTGATGTCCGCGTACCTCACGGCCGCGCTCCGTCTCTGGCAGGAACTGCGGCAACGTCTACTGCGCCGACTGCTCCAAGTACGAGGCGGTGATCCCGCGCGAGCAGCTGTACACGCCGGTGCGCGTGTGCTCGCGCTGCTTCGCCAGCCTGAGCGCGGCGCGGTGCTCGCCGGACCCGGTGTGCGGGCCGTGCCGGCGCGCCGAGGGGGGCGCCGACACGGGCCAGCCGCCGCGGGCCGAGAGCGGCGCCCCGTCCGGCTGAGCGCCGCCCGACGGCCACAGGCCGGACGGACGGCGCCCTCCCGGCAGATATTTATTTTTGTAACGTGTGCGAGTCTCGGCCGAGGGCGGCGGCCGATGTCTAGTCGATCTGCGAGCAGGCGTGATGGCTGTTGTTCTGGTGCGTGCCGCCGTTATATCCTGTGCGTTTGCGAGTGTGCGTATGTTGCCGCGCGAGTGTTTGTGTGTGAGCGGTGATGTGCCGGCGGTCGGCCGTCTGTGGTGCAGGTTCTGTCGGCTGGCGGCAATGACAGCCAAGACTGTGTCGCCGGGCCGGCCGGCTGTGGCTGAGGGTGAGTGTACGCCCGAGCCGGCTGGGCGCGGCACTGCGGGCGGCGTCACTGCCGCCTGCTGACCGAGACAGCAGACCCCGGCCGGCCGCGCTGCACCCGTCTGTCTGCTCCGCCTGCTGGGCGCGCGTCCGCCGGTCTGTCCGGTGTACCCCCGTCCGCCGGACGGCCTCTCTATGGCGCGGTGTGTTCGGCCCGCCGTGCTGGCCGGCCCCGCGGCCCCTCACCCTGTCCCTGCCGGCGCCGGCCGTCCTATACGGCCGCAGCTGCAATAACCCCGTGTGTCTGTCTGTCTGCGCGGACGGTGCATGTCTCAGGGGCCGCGCCGAGCCGCTGTCGCCCTCTGAGCAGAGTTTTATATCGGCGATCAGTGCGCGCCCGCCGTCAGGTATTGTAACATTCAAGTGTCGGACACTAAATTGGAGAATCGTTTATCGCTAGAGCGTCGTTGTAGCGTGATCGAGGTCTTTCGTGGGCGGACGGGCGGTGTCCGGCGCCCGTCGGCCGTGGCTGAACTGTGAGCGCGTGGGTAGTGACCGTGTAGTGAGTGCGTGCGACGCCCGCCCGGCCAGCCGCGGCCGGCTCTGTGTTATTCTCGCTGTGAACGCGGCCCGCCCGTGTGACTACATTGCGCGCCATGGGACGCCGGCGGTACGGTGGCCGCGCTGATTTCACCGCTGCCGGTGGGGTGACGTTCTATTTCCTGACACTGGTGGTCGGCGCCCGGATTCTGGTGTTATCCTATCTTTTCGCCATCGCTGACACTGACATGATTTCCTCCTGGAGTTTGAACGGTTTCCGGGCAGCAGCACTGAATATCCGTTCTATCAATGTCGAAAATAATGCAAACTATTTGTTCCTGGGCGGCAGTTTGTGTGAGCACCTCGGCCGATGCCCGGCAGCGGCGTCCTGTTGCCGTCGGCCGCTCGGGGCCGAGCACAGACACCGTCCGGCCCCCCGGCCTGGCATCCATGGCCCCTGTGAGCGATGGCATGCCTGCCGGCGGCGGCCGCGTGTCCCCGCGCGCTGTGTGTATGTGTGTGTGCGGCCACATCGATTTCCGTGGCGCCGTCACCGTGGCCGCTGTTGCCGCGTGCGGGCGGGACGCGCCGGCCGGCGGGGGTCGGCTGCTATCACAGGGTGAAGTGTAACCGGGGCGCGTGGAGTGGCGCCCGCCGCCGCCGCCGCCCGGCCGTAGAAATACATGTCGATCTGGTCAAACGGCAACTGTCTGCGGCAGAGGCTGGGTGTATGAGACAGAGGAGGGATTGGTTGGGGCTGGTCAGAAGCTGAAATAACCTGCGGACAGCGCTGGTCGGCGGGAGGTCGCGGGGCCGACACTGTACTTCTCCCTGGGGAGCGAGGGTGCCGGACCGACCTCCCGCTCGGAACGGCGCCGAAATGAGGTAACGGAGCTGAGACGGGCGGTAGCTGACGGAGGCTGACGGAGCTGAGACGGGCGGTGGGTGACGGAGCTGAGACGGGCGGTGGCCGACGTGCAGCTGAGACGGGAGCTGAGCCGGGCGGTGGCTGACAGGAGCTGGGACGGGTGGTGGCTGACGCAGCTGAGACGGGCGGTGGCTGACGGAGCTGGGACGGGCGGTGGCTGACGGAGCTGGGACGGGCGGTGGCTGACGGAGCTGAGAGGGGCGGGCGCTGAGACAGGCGGTGGCCGACGCAGCTGACGGACAGCACCGCAGGATATGAGGTGCTCTTCATTACATATCCGGTGCGCGGACCGTCGCGTCGTCCATCAGCGATTGCTCGCTGCGCTAACGTCTGCCACAAATGATGGCTGGCACGCTCCATTACGCATGGCCGGCATAATTCCTCACGTACTTAGCTCGATCACATATGTCGGCTGATATTCCCGGAACCTGGGGGGCGGAACATTGATACGCCATTGTCCCGATCCGCGCCCCAGTGGCGCTGCGGCTAGCTGAGCGTTCACCGAGTGACCTGTCTCTGTATCGAGCGGAGGGCCGGGACTGCCGGCTGCCGCTCCGCGTATCTCCGGTCCGGCTCGAGTAGGTCAGCACTCGGACTCACCATGGACGGGTACCGATCGAGTTCGGACCCAACTCCGTCCGAGCCGAGCTGAAATTTTCATCACCGACTGAGACGAGCGGCCCGAACTTCGCTCCGACGCGGCGGCTGGAGCCGTGTCTGAACTGGACGGGCCGGGCGGGACATTACCGACAGACTTCTCGGGACGTGCCGCGCAAAAAGACGTGCTGCGTCATCGACATTGCGTGAGAAGACTGGAATGGCGCCGGTAGATCGGTGGCGAGATGCCATGCTTATAATCTCGCCGATAGATGGCAGCAGCGTATAACGCCTGAAAGTAGACTGTGCCGCCTGGCCCATACCGCCACGCCGTGCCGGCCGCCCGGCAGCATCCGGCAGTCGCAGAGACGGCCGGTCCGTAGCGGCATATCTACCGTAGGTATACTGCTCTCATCGACTGAGCTGAGAACGAACATATCCACATTACATGCATTTTGTACGTGACAGTCACCGACACCAGTACATCCGTTCCGTGCTTCTATCCTCAGGATGCTGAAATCCTACTCCTCCACTCCGCCACCCCCCTCCGGGCTGGACAGGCAACTTTATCTCATGCGGGCTGCTCCCTTGGAGCGGCACCACTGCTCCCGAGGGAGCGCACCCCGTAGCCGGGTGCAGTGAGTGCCTTGGGGCTGGGTGGCCTGTCTTCGGACGGGCTCAGCCCCGGTGACTCACTAGGGTGCCTGCCCAGACCAATGTCTCCCCCTAATTCCTATCATCCTTCCGGCTCTGCAATGGTCTTGTCAGACCGAAAGGGCCTAACCCAACAAAACAAACAAACAAAAAAAAAAACGACACCAGTAACACAACGATACCGGTTACCTATGCTAAATCCCTTCCTAAGTCAAATCTGTACTCATGTGTAACAAATGCCGCCGTCGACATGACGGTAAGTCGCTGCCACGTCACATGTTTATTCAACTCACGGCCATCAATTCTTCATACAAAATGCGTTCACGCTGGAAATGGATGGCTAACATGAGCAGATCGCCCATCCTCTCCCAATGCATGTGGGAGGGTCTGCTTGAGCTTTCCGTTCAGCCTTGGCTAATCAGCTTCCGTCGCGGTTCCGGCCGGCGTTGGGCCGAGCCCAGTCATGCGTTGCATACTAGTTACCTGGCGCGGGAGGCGGCGGCGGCGGCGGTGCGGGGCGGCATATCGACGCCTCCGCCGCCGTCCGGAGCCGCCGCCCGGAGCCGTCCGGAGCGGCCGCCGGGCGGAAGTGGCGGCTCGCGCGCCCGGCATCGATTGCAGCCGACGGCGCCGGGAACGGGCCATTGCACTGGAGACCGGCCGCTGTACTGGCGGAGACCGGTCACTGTACTGGAGACCGGCCACTGTACTGGAGACCGGCCATTGTACTGACAGAGACCGGCCACTGTACTGGAGAGACCGGCCACTGCACTGGCGGAGGCCGGCCACTGCACTGGAGACCGACTACTGTAGGTACTGGAGACCGGCCGCTGTACTGGGGGAGACCGGCCACTGCACTGGAGACCGGCCACTGTACTGGAGACCGGCCACTGTACTGGAGACCAGCCACTGCACTGGCGGAGGCCGGCCACTGTACTGGAGACCGGTCACTGTACTGGAGACCGGCCACTGTACTGGAGACTGGTCACGCCACTGAAAGAGACCGGCAGACGGGCTGGGTGTGGGCAAAGACTGGCAGCCGGAGCTACTGGAGCCACCCTGCGGGACAGGGTGGTTAGCTACGGACAGGACCACCCAGGGGCGACACTTTCCGAAAATTATTGGTAGGGCTCTAATGTAAATTTTTGCCAATTCAAAGCGATTCTTTCCACGCAACGCCATAGGCATAATGTTAAATTTCCAAAATTATTGGTAGGGCTCTGGCCCTACCATGCCTATACAAAACGACACCCATGGGACCACCGGAACTAATCCAAATAGATCCGGAGTGCACCGATATTAGACCAGATCCCAATGAGATAGGAGACTAGAGCGAGCCCAAACAATGCCATATTATAGACCTTATCAGCCCCGAGAACATCGAGACAAAACCAAGCTATTGATTTCGCGGGTTCCTATATGTAGACCTCTTATTTCATGTGATGTGATCAATTTGTTAAAAAGATATCAAAATAAGTAAATTTTAACGCGTAATGATCTCTGGTTTAATCCGACGTCATCTGACCGAACAATGAGGGCTGAAAGTGTCCCGGTCTGGATGTGATGTATGGAATTAAGAGCGACCACAGTCAGAGTTTTGCGCACATAATACAGGCCCAGTGCACTGACCGTCGGTAAAGTAGCTGCATGTTTCTGCATTAGGCGCCGCTCCGCCACCCGCCCCTGGGAAGCCCCTAACACGTTTACCGCGAGCCACTCGTAAAGCATGCCCTCCCCTCGCCCCCGAGCGGCTCAGAGTCGCTGATTGGCTCCTCAGAGAGCAGGCCGGCAGCCGATTGGCTGATTTAGCAGGGGACTAATTCCCGTCCCAGGGGCCGGTCCACTAGCAAATGATCCAGATGGCTGCACATTTTCTTTTCGCCGGTATAGTCAACAGGGGTGAAAGTGAAATAAATGACGACAATCGCTTGGTCGTGAATTATGCGGCCACCGGTCACTTCAGCCCGCGAGTAAAGGCTTTTTGATTGGGGCTCCGGCTGACCATGAACTAACCCTCCTCCTCTACTATAATCGCTCGGCTCAGGTCCATCATTGACCAGCCAGCTGGTCACATTCTCGCAACGCTGAAAACTTGGCCCATTACGGTGGCATAAGCGGGCATCTGGCCGGGCTCGGTGTGCCACCGATATAGCCCCCGTTACGGGTTACCGCGAGCTCCGGCCGCGGCCGGGGGCGGCGCGAGCTCCAAAGGTCAGGCTCGGCTAACAAATGGCGCTCGTTTGGCGGCGCGCCGCTACGTGGGGCTTCATTCCGCTGTGCCCGTGTGCAGCAACGAGCGGCGCGCGAGCGGCCGTCTCGGTTAGAGGCAGCGCCCGCACCGAGAGGCGCCGCTTACCGGCGGCCATTGCCGGAGCTGCCCGGAGGAGACGCCATCAGATATGACATCCTCCCGGGAACACCCGCCGGGCTGGGCTGAGACGGCAGGTGCGGGGGGATAATCACTGGTTTTGAATGATGAGTAATCATTTGCTGTTTCAATCCCTGATCTGTTAACATGCCTATCCTGCTTCCATTCTTGTACGCAATTACATAAATAGCGCCGATTAAGTCCAGTGTGTCTTAAAAAAAGGACGCTACAGAAATAATGCAGGCAATATGCAGGCACCCAGTGCTGCACTCGGTAGAGGCTCCGAGTCATTCGTCCACCTGCATCCTTCGCTGGGTAAGGATCTAGGCGCTCCGCCTCCGATGTACGGTTGCTTAGGACGCCGTTGTAGGTGCTCGGTAACGACAAAACAACGATCGACCCGCGACCCGTGGGCGCGGGAATGAGCGAGAGTGCGTCCGCGGCCACACTGGCGACAGCTCAGCTGTCCGATTTCATGGCTGGGCTGGCTGGCAAAGGACCAATCTCTTCGTTCTAGGAACGTTCTCCGGAACGGCACTGATCTATTCTCTGCACGAGCTCTTTTATCGTAAGACGGCCGATGCGTTCCCCTCCCTGAATGGTTTTCCATTTTGGCCCCAAGCGTAGGACGGTGCATGTAGATAGCGGATTAAAGAATGAATAATATTTTATCTTTGTCCCAAAATAAAATGTCGCTGCCGACTCCCTCTTTCCATTAAGAACAATGGCATAGTTAATAGTTGTTATCTATTGTTCCTTAAAAATGATGTGTGTAGGGGAGAGCGGGGCCAGTTG